CAAAACAAAACATACTAGCAGTATAGCTTAAGAAAGGTAAACTCCAATGCATCTATCCTAACGAAGAGGACTAAGGATGGTGAGGGTTCATCAAAACAGAAAAACACCAAACTAGACTCATACTTAGCAAGCCAATTAACATATTAATTGACTTCTTTAAGAGAATGACTAAACCTAGTAAATTTAACTTCAGACAACAGTAATCTAATCTCCCTAATCACAAAATAAAGGAGATGGAAGTAGGGCTGAAAGTTTACAATTAGTGAAATTGCATCCATTGAGTCACACTCTATCCAAATGAAATAAAAATATCTTTATTAATAACAAGCTGAATACCCTAAAAGATGCTTCATAGTTTGGCAACCAAGGGTAAGCAAGCCTTCAAAAAACTATAGTAGCCAGCAATAAACATGCCGTTGTTGTTTCCAATAAGACCACCACAATCAGCAAACTCCAAATTTTTAGAGGTTGATCCATCAACACTGAGTTTAAACTGCTTCTTTGGAGGAATCTATTTAACATTACACTGTATCTCCATCAAACCAGGAACTATCCTCTACTTAGACATGTCACAAAATTGTAAGAATCAAAATCATACAATATTTTTATTCAAAAGGGCTTCATCATTCAAAGAATGATTATGGAAAATAAAATTATTCCACAAGTTTCAAACAATCACCTGAACAAACTATTCCAATGCAAATATTGAAAGGAATTATTCTTACAAAGGTTAATGTTTAGCCACCTACTTAGAGTAGGGCTAAAGAAAGAAATCTAGTTATTAGGGAGAACAAGCTAATTTCAAATTTGTTTGACCCACCAATAGTCCCTGAGCACATGGATGATTGTTTTAAGGATCTCATTGCACCTCCTACAAATAGAGGAGGCAAACATCCCCTAGTTAAACCTTTTCACATTAGTTAGGAGGTGACCATTGACAATTTTTTAGAGGAAAACAAAAATCTTGAGAGGACCTTTCTAGTTTCACATAGACTCAGAATTAAGATCACAATCAGAATTCTTAAAAGTACCATTAGAAATAAAATCATAAACAAATTTTAAGGAGAAAACTTTGTTACTAGAGAACTTCCAAAAGATAAAATCTTGACCTCCAGCCAACTTGGGGGCTTATAGGTAAAATTTAGAGATTTAATGAAATTTTAAGAACTTTTAGATGAATCATTAAATCATCCATCAATCAAAGTAATTTATTCAATATAATATATTTATTTTATAAAAAAATAATTAGATTTAAGTATAAAAGGTTGGTTCAATTAAAGATACATAGATCATCTTGACACTCAAAGTTGGAAAAAAAATAAATTTTAAAATAGAATGATATAAGTTATCAAGTAATGTTTTGTCACCGTTTGATGGTATTAGCACACTGTCTCTTCCAACAAATATATTTTGTATTAAGAAATATTTTTTAATTATTGTTAGGATCTTAATGAAAATATTTATACAAGTAAATTAAACTAATTTAAAGATTTATGTCAAATATTTATAATAAGCATATAAATTTTTAATTTCCTAAACTTCAGTGGAACAATTGTCAATTTGTTTGATCTATAATTTTATGGATAATACAAGAAATAAACATACTATGTGGAGATTTGGGGACTAATTGTGTGAATGAAATTAATATAAGATAAATCTTATTTTATCTTAATTTTCTTTAATAAGAATTTTTTTAAAAATTCATTCTAATTAAAGTATAATATGGCTACAGTTGTGGCAAGGACAATATGACTCTTATCTCCTTGTAATTGTGTGAAAAGTGCATAGACATATCTTGCATTGTTACTAATAGGATCACTCTCACCAACAACAAAAAAATGTTAAGAATCATAAAAAGTAACAAAAATATAAAAAATGTATTTTTTTTTTATAATATAAATATATTTGACATGATTACAAGAACAAAGCCACTTAATCATAGTTAGGTTGGGCTAAAGTATGAATTTATGATAAATTTAAATGCAAGGGAAAATATAGAGAGAAAAAGAATAGGAGAGAGATAAATAAAAGAGCGAGAAGAAGAGTGAAAAATTTAAATATTTAAATGAGTCAAAATAAGAGGTAATAAAATGATAACAAAAAATATTTTAAAATGAATAAAAAAGAGTGTAGAAATAAATATTTAATTTGTATTCAAAATATTCATAAAAAATAAAAAATATTTTAAAAATTTTTATATTTAAAAAAATGATTTTTATTTTTTATATTATTTTAATTGTATTAAAAATTAAAAATAAAAATGAAAAATAACCCTCTCCATCGAATAAAGAAATAAGAGGATAAAAATAAAGTAAAAATGTTACATATTTAGATCAGTTGAAATAAAAATTAATAGAATGATAAAAAAAATTTACTTTTAAATAAAAAGAATGTAGAAAAAAATAATTGAATTGTATTAGAAACCCCCTCCTCTCCCTCTTTAATAAGGGCTTATGGCAATCCAAACCGTAAAAATTTTACATTTTCATACTTATTAAAATTTGTCCTCTCTAATTACACCCAAACAAACGCACTTTATGGAACTCAAGTTATAGTGTTTTGATTAATTTACAACCATTTCAACAAGGATATTCACCATCCATTTTAGTTTTTATTATTGATATTCACTGTCCAATTTAATCTTGACAAATCTAAGTTGACTTTGGTCAGGCTGAACAGAGAAAATCTAGATATACAAATTCAATCTACATCTAAAGGCAAACTAGTTTTAAAATTCAAATTTTTAATAAAATTTAATGCTTAAGTCCACTTTGTTTGCTGTGTTTGTTTATCTAGAGAAAAAGAAAGAGAATAGTGAAGAGAAATGATGGAATTTTAAAAACATAATAGTTGAGAATTAAGAAAGGAAATGCTTTGTTTTTGGTAAGTGGAAGGGGTAGTCCATTTGGGACAGTGATATGGTAAGTGGATGGCGGAGAACTCTCAAATTTAAAATCAATTTAAAATCAAAACTACATTTTAATACCAGTTATTAACTGGTTCTGAAAAAAGTGAAATTGATTAGTTTAATATCTAATATGTATAATTAATTTTAAAATGAATTTAGATTAAGTTTGTATGAAGTTAATCCATACTCAACTCTAACTTTAGATGACGTGAGTCCTCGTTTTGATAAATTATAATTTTAACGTGAGTAATAGTCTTGGTTATAAATTTACAAAACTATTAATTTAATTCTTAACTTAAAAAAATTGTCATTTAATGTTTATCGATCAATTGATGAAATTATATATTTATAAATAAAGTTTAAGTGAAGTAACTTTAATAAAAAATAATTTAATTTTTTCCTTTTTTTACTTCAAATATATTTACACCCAAATATATATATATATATATATATATATATATGTATATATATATATATTATATTATATTATATTAGTGTATGTTATATAAAAATATTATATCACTGAATAGTTTTTTATTAAAAATATTTATTGTAAAATTAATTATTAAATTAAATGCTTCTACCAAATAGATCAATCCAAAATCATTTAATACTTCACATAAATAAAATATTATATTATTTTAAAAAATATTACACTGACAAAATTTGTATTTTACATTAAATTTTTGACCGTATACTTATTTGTGTAACTTATATTGGTGTATTTTAATATTTCACTAATGTTGTTTCTATGACATAATTATTGTTATTATGTTGATAATTTATTTCTATTATTTTCTTTCTATTAGTCACTTCATTTAAAAAATAAAATAAAAATATAATAAATAGTTTATATAATTTTAATTTTAATTTAAAATTTAAAAATATTTAAAAAATTTAAACCATTTTTAAAATTAGAAACTTAAACTAAAATTTGAAAGTGTTTAGTATAATGTTCATAAACTTAAAATATTATCTTCTACCTTTTTTAAATTGATGATTATAATTATTTTAATATTTTAAAAATTAAAAATTATAATTATTTTAATATATTAAAAATAAAAAAGATATTTATATATTTTTTAAATAGATTATTAACTTCAGTATCTATTATAAACATTTAATATAAAATTAACAATAGTAATTATTTTACATATAAAAGAATATAAAATATTCTCCTAATTTATAAAATATTATAAAAATTAAATTTTTAATTCAAAATTTTATTACGATACATGTATCCAAAACATTCAGAACACATGGAAGCATTTATCGTTATTTATATAAAAAAATTGAAAATATGTTGATATCCGGTGGATAATTCTTTTTTCTTTAGTTGTGAGTAGGAAGTTTACATAAATGATGGATCACAAATCTTTCGCAATTAGGAAATATTTTAACCCCAAAAATATATTTGTTCTTATTTAATTACGGACAATTAAGAAATTCTTTTTTTTGGGGTAAATTAATAAATTAATCTTTATTTCATCTTATTTTATAGAAATTATATCAAGTAAGATAAATACAAAATTTAAATATAGATATATGTATTGGATAAGAATGTCGGAGAATTATGTTATGTATTTGAAAGTAACAATAGTTTTTAAATAAAAAAAGTAATAATAATTTTAAAAAATAAAATATGGTGAATATATTTAATAAATTATTAAAAATCATTTAATTAATTTTGTAATCAGTAAATATAACTTGCAATTTGTTCCCAAGGATATCTCTGAATTGTAACATGCATGAGTTAAAGGAGTGTTTATTGCCTCTGGAGAATGAACGAATGGATTGAAGGAGATTTAAACTAAGAGGACCCCACACAATCAGAGAGGGTTGTGCAGTTGATCATCTGACCCCACCACGAAACGCCGTGTCTATTTCCTATTGGACGCCACAGCGTAACCTAATTTACAGCACTGTCAACGAAACACGAAAACCGCGCCGCACAGGGACAACACCGCCATAAGTCAAAACTATTGAGGGCAATTTCGTCAACACAATTTCCAATTATCCCCACCCAAGACCCCCCCATTCCAATTCTCATTAACGCCGATAAAGCAAAAACAAAAAAACACCCTACACACACATACAGAGAGAGAGAGAGAGAGAGAGAGAGAGAGAGAGAGAGAGAGAGAGAGAGAGATTCTTTGATTTCGTTGCGCTTTTCTTTCTTCACTGTGCGACTCAACATTTACATGGAGTTCCACATTTAGCCCTAACCGATTGGGCCTGCGACCCGAGTCCTTATTGGACCGTACCGTAATTTTGGTCACATTCGATCTCTGCGATCTGGTGGAGACTCTCTGTTAGGGTTCTGCTTTCTTATCGATTGCATTTCAAATTAGGGTTTCTGTTTCGGATTCAGTCATTGAGTGCACTTCTCCTGATTCCAATTCGGAGAATAGGGTTTCGCGTTTCGCATCCGCGATGCCGCGCAGTTCGAAGCACAAATCGAGCAAGCACAGTTCGAGGGATGCGAGGGAGCACTCCGACTCCGAGAGGGATTCCGGCTTGAAGGATCGGAAGAGCAAGGAGGAGAGCAGCGCCGCCGCCAAGGCATCCAAGGATTCGAGTTCTGCCGAGAAGCGGAGGCTCGATTCGAAGGACGCGCACGGTAACGGAGAGTATTCCGACGAGTATGCTTCGTCCTCGAAGCGCCGCAAGGACGGTGGAGGAGATAGGTGGAATGGCGGCGAGGAAGGGTCGAAGAAGTCGAAGGCAGTGGGGGATTCAAAGAGTAGGAGGAGGGATGGGAGTGTGGGAGTGTACGGTGAGGGTGAGGAGGTGAAGAGGAGTAGCAGTAAGGGCGATGGGAAGCATAGGGATTCGTCGTCGGGTCGAAAGGAGAATAGAGAAGGTGGGGCGGAGAAGGAGAAGGAAAGGAAATTTAAAGAAGGTAGAAGTGAGGAATCGGTTGATGACCAAGAACAGCGTGTGTCCAAGCAAGTGTTTGAAATTAATGGTAAGGTAACTTTGACTGTTGATTTATGGCGTGTTTATTCTGCATTTATACTATCATAACTTGTTTTGAACTGAAGCAAATTTTGCATTTGTGTTGAGAAGAATTGGCATCATCGTTGAATTGATGCTTAGCTTTCAGCTTTATGTGTTTTATTAGGAATGAAAGAAACAATCGTAAACCCATTTAAATATTAGCTTTGAGTATTGACGCACCTTTTCTTAGTTTAGGAACAGCAAACACAGGACATTTGCACCTATCTGTTGTGTCTATTTGTTGCCTCTTCTCACAAAAGTTTTTGAGCATTTCTGGAATTGTGTATGACCGATTTGACTAGTGGTTGTTGACGGCTTTACTATGAGAATATGAGTGTCAAATGCCAATTTCCTTTTGTTCCCCACATGCTCTCATTTGTTAGAACAGGCATTCTTTGACAGACTGAATCTGTCCTTGTTCCTCGCTTTGGTTTTGTAATTTGTTGTTATTGTTTATTCAATGTCAGTATTCATGCACTTGTCATTCCAACAATTTCACGCTCAGTGACATTCTTTTGGAATTGTCTGCCTAATGGTATCAGACTAAGGTTTCTGTCTATGCTTTTCTTCGTGCACCATTTCTAATGAGATCAAATTATCTTCCTTCACTTGTGTATGGCTGTGGGATGAAGACCAGAAAAACAGGGTTTATGATAAAATGCGTTGTATATTTGGCTTTGAATATTAGTTGGGTTGCTCAGGTGAATGCATCAATGCATTGTCTGTACAATGTTAAAATCACCTTATGCGTTGACCTAAACTAATTCAAATGGATGTTAAGAATATAAGTTAAAATTTAATTGACATGTTTGACACTTCTGTATTTTTCCATAAAAGAACGTCATTCTAGGTTGGGAAGATTTAAAAAGCTGTTAGATTTTGCTAGATTACATATCAAAATAATACCTCATTCTGGTTGTGAAGCTCAAATTAGATACCAAGACACTGTTACACTTAAGGGATATATGTAGAGTTTGGATCCTCTCCCTTTTTTTCATTAACAAGAGAGTTCTTTTATGGAGAGAGACACATTTTGTTGTGAAGGGATAATTGTGATATGTGTTGGGTCCACCAAATTTATACAACTACAAATGCTGTGTGCCTATTTCTCTCACATCATGCCCCTCTTCTGTTAGTAAATAAAAGGAGATAATTTTTTTCATTATGCCATATTTATGACCAACTCTTTGCTTGAACTATCACTCATGTATATGTAAAGCTTGTGTTAGTAGCATGGATTATTTTCTACTTTATATGGATTGGCAGTTAAAACCAGTTTAGAATCTTTGAATGGGAGATCTAAATTGAATTTAAGGGTGCTGTGCCTTATTGGGGAATGGTTTCATTGCGTCTGGGTAAATTTGATGGTAATTGAACAAAACGTTTTCTACTGTATTATGGATCAAAAGTGGTATTAGCAAAATGTGAAAATTTCATTGCTTTGGTTCACATGACATAAGCTTCAATACTGAGCATAGAATAAATTAACATGATTGCATATGGAATTGAGTGCTGAAATTATTTTGTAAGAATATTAGTGGGAACAGTGACTAAGAGGATGCTACGCAAGGTTCTTCAACCCCATTTTTTGCTGGAATTACTAATTTTCTCAATTACTATTCATCATCAGGGATCTATGTATTATATTCTGCATGATTCTGTACCAGATTTCATGTTATCTCATGTTTTATTTGATGTAAATCTCTGTTGAGTTGAGTGGATCTCTAACTATATTAGAGAAGTTGATTTTTGCCTAGCAACATTGCGACTAGGAGTGGCTATTTTTCCTATATGTTGCAAATTAGCTGTTTGGATTGAGTGTGGGTAATAATTCTTTCTAACAAGTTTAAATATGGTTTTGTGTATGTGCATGTTTAAATCTTTGAATGTCCTTTTACTGTCTTATTTTCATCATTTGCATTCCCTAAGAGTAAATCGTGCCTATTTAGCTTGTAGGGGGAGGGGAGTTATGAGAGGACTCATTGGCTGTGAGCATTTATGTATTCTTTGGTGTGTTGGTTGAAGCCGAATGCTCAATTCAAGAACATTGCATTGTCCCTAGATTGGTATGGGATAAGATTATTATGGTTTCTGTTTGGCTCTCTGTCCTGGTTTCTTTTAGGCACTTTCCCTGTCAGATATTCAGTGAGACTGCGGATCTTTATTTCACAAATGAGTTTACTTTTACTGTATTTGTTCTTAGTGTTTTGGTTGAAGACATGCTTGTGCTCCCTGTTTTCTTCAATCACATTTACCTTCTATCCATGTGGAATTAATTAAACTAGTAATTCTTAATTTGTTCTTCTTGGGAAGCAAGTGTAACTGATCAAGAAAAAATTACTGCAAGGATGATACAAAACACCAACTTTAAGATGTTCTTTACAATCTTTAGATTGTAAAATTCTGTGGCTTTAATCAATTTCTTTTGATCCTTTTCAACAACAAAACTAAGGGATGTATCACATCAAATACTTTTAGCTTGTGAGACTCAGCTGGTTCTTCCTAGCAATTCATCATTGTAGTCATTGTCATTAGCTTTTGATAGTTTTATGAAATGTTTAATGAAATTGTTTTGTCGTGCAATGTTTGTGTCATTTCAATACATGGTCTGTAAATATGATATCCTGACTTTCAGATTTTAACGAAAACAGTTCATCACATCTGTCTTATACTTGGCTAAACTGAATACCATGCTGGGATAAATCTGGCAATATTGTCCAACTGTTGATTGTGATTACTTTGTAATTGAATTTTTCAGCATTACTTATGCTTGCTATGGGATATTAAAGTAATGCTAAAGTAATTTATCTTGTATCAAGGTTTTTGGTTGTGAATGATTTGAAAAATTAAATGTCTCTGTGTGGTTGTTGATCTATTACACTATTTGAAATGTCCCAAGTTCACTGCTTCCATCAATAATGCAAGTTGGACTTGTGATTTGTAATGTTCTGGTCCTTAGTTTTTCATTTTCTTTCTTGTAACACCTTCCATATGAAGCTCACCACTTTTTATGGACTGTTGTGCACATTCATTTGAGGTACTCTGATTTGTTCAGAAGGCAGTTGTTGATTTGATCTATGTGGCTATGCTTTTTGCAGATTCAAAGAAATCTGATGAATTGCGAAGCCCTGAACCTGATAACCAGCTTGAGAAACGAATGAGGAAGAAGAGGGATGACTATAGTGATGGTGATAAGCATCAAGATAATACTGGAGATGGTTATGATAGACATTTGTCTTCTAGGGATGACATTGCCAGGGATGGGAGAAAGAAGGATGATAGGCGAAAAGAGGAGAAATATAAAGACAAGTATAGGGATGAATTAGACAGGGAGAATAAACATCGACATGACAAGCAACGTGATGAGCGCCCTGCAAAAGATCATACAAGCATAAGGTCTGATGATAAACATGCTAGGGAAGAAAAGAATAGTCTAGAATCACGACAGAAGAGAACCAAGCTTCCAGAGAGTGACAGGGACCATAATCGTGATCGTGATGGGGATCGTGATTTGGAATCTGTTCGTGATCGTGATTTGGAATCTGTTCGTGATCGTGAACGCCATACTGAACGTGATCGTGATTATGATCTTGACAGGGATCATGATTATGATAGAGATAGAGATCGAGATTGGGACTGGGATCGTGATCGAGATCATTATCGTGACCGAGACAGAGAGCGTGACCGTCGCCGTGATCGTGATGGGTCATATGTGGATGATAGAAGTGCTAGAGGCAAAGAGGGTGTGACAAAGAAACGAATTTTGGATGATCGTGATGATTATAGTGACTCTAAATCTAGGGGTGTTAAGAGCTATTATCCTGATACAGAGAAGAGGAGTTTGAGCAGCATCAGAGCTGATTCAGATGTCGACAGAGGAAAATCTCAACCACGACAAGCTCATGCTGATTCAACTGGGACTAGCAATAAACACCGATCTTCTCCTGCCTCAAATACACATGCTGGCAAAGAGGAATATAGGTACTATTTAATTTTTGGTGAAAGTTTGGTTGAACTGTTGTGAGCTCATTTCTGAGTTGTCTTTTAGATGGTATTCCCTTCCACACTGTAACTTTCAGGTAATATTAGGGAAGTTGTTTTATGCTTTTTTTTTGTCTCATTAGTTTTTAAGGGCATTGTTACTTTGAAAGTGTTATACTATGATTGCTGATAAACAATTATCATGTGTAATTTGCTGTGAAGAAGTTTTAAAGATTGATGTATCCTACTCATTTATGATTACTGCAATTTTCTTTAAAGATTACCTTTTTGGCATCGTATGACATTAGTAACTTAGTTTTACACAATTATATAAATATATGGGGTTTTTATAGCTCAATGAAAAAGAACTTCCCTTTGCCAACATGGGAGGTAGTTAAACATTTGAACAGAGTTTTTTGATGATAGTTAATGTTTTGCTTGCATGGTTTGGATATTATGGTTTGGTCTACTTTTTACTTTGGCTCGCAGAAGTTTGTAAGTATGGGATTTATGCCATTAGTTACTGGTTGCCATTTCCCCCATTTTTCAGAAATGCAAACGCTGAAGATCCAAAGTACAAAGACTCATTGGTAGAACAGAGGACCAAAGGTTCAAGAGAGGGTTACTCTGGGATATCAGATAGAGGTCCTAAATACAAATCAATTGAAAAACCTAATAAAATAGATGAGTGTCCAGCAGGAGACTTGTCAAATGAAAAGTCTTCCAGTGCCAAGGCTTCACCCGTGGGCCTGATGGAAAGATCTCCTTCATCAACAAGCATGGAGCGCAGGTATGTGAGTAGAAGTGGTGTTAAGAGGAATCTTGAAATTGATGAAAGTGGAAGGAGGAGCAATACTGATGCAAGAGATTTCTCTGCTTCTGATGACAGACTTGGCCGGGAGTCAACTCTAGAGAAACCACTATTGGATGAGCCCTCTCAAGCAGATTCCTCTTTTTATGGTAGGACTAATCAGAGCAATGCATCATTGATTCCTCCCCCACCTGGTTTCAGGGCAGTCTTAGATAGACCTTATATGGGTTCTTTAGATGATGATGTTAGAGATAACTCTAATACACGATACAGAAGAAGTAGTGAACCTGGCTTTGGAAGAGGTCATGCTGGCAATTCCTGGAGGGCAGTTCCAAACTGGAATTCACCAGTACCAAATGGATTTGTTCCCTTCCCACCTGGGCCAGCTCATGGAGGTTTTCAAACAATGATGCCACAGTTTACATCTCAACCTCTCTTTGGTGTTAGGCCTCCAATGGAAGTTAACCATGCTGGCATTCCTTACCATATTGCTGATGCTGACAGGTTTCCAGGTCACTTGCGTCCACTTGGGTGGCCAAATATGATGGATGGAACTGGACCTGCTCATTTGCATGGATGGGATAGCAATAATGGTGTCTTCAGAGATGATCCTCACATGTATGGTAGTTCTGATTGGGACAGGAACAGGCATTCAACAAATAATCATGGATGGGAATCTGGTTCAGAGACTTGGAAAGAACAGAATTCTGATTCAAAGAAGGAATTGCGTTCCCCAGCCTGTAAAGAAGAGTCAGTTCCTGCCTTGGCTGATAATGGCTTGACTGATCAGACTAGTCAGATGTCTCATGATGAACATAACCGGGATGACCTTCATGACAAATCTCCTGAAACAAAGTTGTCCAGTTTCAGTTCTCCAGCAGAAATTCCATTGAACTCTTCATCCTCAACTATTCTTGAAAAGGTGCCTGATACTTCAACACCAAGTGACAATACTTCTCTTTTCAGCCGTTTCTACCTTTCCAAACTTGACATTTCAGTAGACTTAGTACTGCCAGAGTTGTATGACCAGTGTATGTGTACTCTGAATGTTGACAAGAATGCTTCCGTCAATGCAGTTGCTGGTACAGAACTATTCTTGAAGGTAAAATCCTAGAGTATTTTTTGTGCTTCCATTTATGCTCCCAAAACTTGTACAGCTTAAATATTTGACTTTTTTGGTCTCTTTTTTGGGGTGGGGTGGGAGGGCAGTCTGCATCAAGTTTGTGGTCAATTATACCAATTTTAACCAACAAGTTTGAAGATAATCAATGCATGCACTTTTTCATTTAATATTTACTTTATAAAGTATTAGAATGACTATTAGGAGGATCTGGCAAAGTTCTTCACCTGATATTCTATTACCTACTCTCTAGAGAGATTTTTTATTTTATTTTAAGTGAACTGGTGTATTTATTAAAATTAAAACTGTATTGTTAATCTCTATTTACTCAAATGCAAGGGGTCCCTGACAATCAAATTTCCCCATCCTGTGATTTTACAGAATGGTTCAAGAGCTCGGCAGAAATATGCTGCCACCTTGTCAAAGCATTCAGCATTTCCAGCAATTGATAATTCTATCTTCCAGGTAAAACTACTCGATCAGTTCTTATAATGGTTACAGCATTTATCTGTAGGTGAAAAGTGTTCAACTTTCCTTAAGACTTCTAATAATATTCTTCGCTAACCCTCAACCTTGTGTTGTAAATTGTAGTAATATTTATTGGTAATGGAAATTAGCATTGTCTAGAATTTAACTTCCTGAACCTGTCCATTTTCCTAAGTTCAGTTCATTAAATGCTTAAATATTGAATTATGGACTCTTGATGAGTGAATATTTTCTCCAATTTGCAGAGAGCCATAGCCCTTTACAAGAAACATAGGGTGAAACTGCCTAAAAAGGAGGAGCTGGATAGTATTGCAGCACCCAGCCAGATGCAAGTGGATGAGTCTGTTCCTATTCCTAGTTTGGAGAATGGACACGTCCCTGTCTCAGCTTTCAATGAGATAAATGATGTGCTAATACCTTCATTAGAACCAAACAAAGTGGAAAGTACATCCCCTGTGAAGGAGCAATTGGAAGAAAACAATCAAAACTACAGCCAGATGGTGCAAGATCATGATTGTACCCATTCTTTTAAAACAGGCATATCTAGTCCATCTTCTGGACAAATGAACCAAGAGGCAGCTGTAGCAGGTTTGCAAGAGAAAGAGGACTACGTTACTTCTGATAAGATGAATTCAGGGGATGCAGAGGAGGATAACTCCATGGCATCCAAAACTGAAGCTCAGTTGGCCCCCACTTTGTATGAAGATGGTGATAACATTAATAGCAAAGCCAAAACTACTGGTTTTGCCCATTGTGCAGATGAAAAGCTGGGTTTTGGTGACACACAGGTTAATCCCTTAGTTGTTGAGGATGGGTCTCCCAAAGCTTGTGATGCTTTGATGCCTGGTTCAAATGAGTCTGAGTCGCTAATTTTAAGCCGGATACATCATTCTCCTGAAAGTACACATTGAGACAATTTCTATATCTTTCATTGCTTTTTATCCATCAGGTTTAATTTCCTCCCTCTTTTTTGTTGCTTTCATTTTGAGCGAGAATAAAGGAAATGGCATTCGTATTCCCCTAGAATAACGTTTTCTGACCCCCCCATGCATGTTTTTCCTGGCATTTCATTACTCCTATTTTAGCATTTCTGCACGAGCATGCAGTGGCAGTGTCTCATCTTAGTTGCATTTTCTTCTGCATGAATGCAGTGACCTTAAAATACGGCTCGTAATTTAAGTTCAGTTCAATAAAATTTTTTCTGAAAAAATTAAGCCCGTAAAACTATTCACGAGTCCTATGGTTGTGTCATGTTTGTGCATTTACAACCCAGTTTTCTCTCCCTCGACTTATTTAAAACCACATTCTCATGCATTTTTTTCACTAATTATTTTAAAAAGGAGGATTGTTAGTGACACGTTCTTTGAATTTTTTTAATAAGTTTTCTTTTTATGGTTTAAGTTTTTGTAAATCCTACTAAATAATATGGGTTTCATTCTCTATTTAGTGAGTTTACTTATTGTTTAATGAGGCCTACATTTTAGTCATATAGTGTTGAAGAGGAAAGAATGTCGTATAATGTGGTATGTGTTAGCATTACCCTTTTTTACTTTGCACTGTATACTTGTTTGTAGGTTGTTTTAGGTTTAGTTCATCATGTTGAAAGCGAAAATGGTATTTGGAAGTGTGTGTGTGTGTGTGAAAGCTAGTGCCCGTGCGTGCCTGTGTAAGAACATAGAATTTTATTCATTAAACTGTTAACAATTGTTTAACAATAAAAATCGGTACTTTTGCATAAAATGAAACGCACAGTAGAATATCTGCAAATTATGGGGAATATATTAGGTGAAAGAAATTAACTAGAGTGCAATCAAATCGCGCACTGTTATGTTCCATCAACAGGCTATTATCACTACGTTATCACTGTTATTACTAGTTTTTCCTTTTTCACGGTGGTAAAATCATTTTAAATTTTGTGTCTTCAGTGTTTGCATATTACTCATCTATCAACGTTCTTATACTCTAACCTTAAATTAGGAAAAAAAAAATACTTGGAAAAAAAAGGGTTGTCATTGAATAACTTTGAATAAAAAATTAGTGCTGATAAACATGTTAAAATCAACTTAGAATATGTTTGGAGTTGGGGCAGAGGGAGGTGGCCGTAGGCCTGGAAAAATCTTAAAGCTGATCAAACCTGCTTAAATTGAAAAGCGTATTTTAAAATTGGGTGTGTCTATATGGATTTCAGTTTGTATTAATTAAAAAAATTAGTTATTAACGGGTTTCGGATGAATTTAAATTTATTGTCAATATTTCAACTCTGTTGGTGTATTTTTATTTATATTAAATTTATTATTGTTTTATTCAATGTTGAATTACTTATTGCTATTTCAAAATGAAAATTGTCGAGTTTTGAGTCATTTATTTCCAAATTTTAAAAATTAAAAAATATACAAGTTTTATCGGTAAAATGAGCACGTATGTTAAACTAATTTTTTAATTCACTATTTTTTTTAATTGAATTGGTGTTTAAATATACTTTTCCACATCAGATTTTTTTTTCGTTTATTCAAGTTCATATATATATGGAGGCTATGTTTTAACTTATTAAACTTTTGCAGTATATAAGGACAACATTTTTTTATGATAATATTTTACTACTAATATTTTTTCTTAACTTTAATTTTTATAATTACGATTAAATATTTAAAATAATATTGTTAAAATATAATTATTATATTAAAAGATAATAAATATAATAAATAATTTTAAATTTATTATTATTATTATATTTATTTTTTAATTTATTATTAATTTATTTTAATTAATACTTTATTTATTTAATCTATATATTTATTCTTTTGTGTTTGAATTTAGTCACTTTTTAAATTATTCAAAATTATAAGAAATACAACCATTTTTAATAAAATAATTTTTAATTATATATGAAATAGATAAAATAAAAATTATGCATCAAGATAGTAACTATTTAATATCATTTACATATATAAAATTTTTTCCATAAAAGTTCAAAAAATATATAAAAATGAAATAATTTATTTAGTTTTGTATATTTGAGTAATAAAATGATAATTTATTACTCAAATAAATATTTGTATGTTGTACTAAAATATTATGATAAAAAAATTTATTTATTTAAGATTTTTAAATTTATTAATAGACGAGAATAAAATTTTAAATTTTTGTACTAAATAACATCTCAATCAGCCTTTGGTTATGGGCTCTACGCATAACCTGTCTTTTATTATTATTATATTTTTTTATACTCACTATTGAATCCAGCAAGTTAATTTTTTGGAACACTAAGGTGATACTAATACTAGCTGGTAAATATGAAATTTGGCTTTCTTAAAGAATCGTAAGCTTCCAAAATAAAACGGATATATGAGCTAATGCTAAAATATAATATAGTTGTGGAGAGTTAAGCATATTTAAAATTTATATTAATTGATTATAAAAAAATTAATCAAAATCCATTTTAAACTAAATCTAAATTTTAAAATTAATTTTAAACCATTTTAAAAAAATAAAATAGATTGATTTAAAATTCAATTCATATAACTAGATTTAAGATGAATCTTAATTAATTTATGCAAATTCAATCTAGTGATTTATTAAATTAAAATTATTTAATAAATTAATTATTTAATTTATTTGTGTTAAATAACTTAAAAGAATATATAATATTATATTAATATAATATTTAAAACACATATTATTTGTTTTATTTATTTCCTGTCAATCAATTAATTAAATAATTATATAAAAAATTAAATTTTTATTCATATATATTTTTTAATTAATTGATTAAATGGGTCTTGCTAACAACTACCGTAAGGACACTGGTTAAAAAATCAATAAATTAAAAGATATTATTGAAAATCACAATGGGAGTGCAGTAGTAAGATTAAATATTACACTTTCTCATAAAAACTTTTAACACTTTGTGCTACATTTCTCGAGAAGTATACGAGCAAATTTGAATACTGAATGATAAAGTTATACCCTGACATTTTAAAGTGTGCAACATATTCAATTAGTCATAGGCCAAGGAGGAAAAACATAATGTCAATGTAAGTGATTTCAGTTTGTAATCGTGAAGTATGTATCCAGTAGGATTCAATAACAAAGCAAGAGGTGTGTGCACTTAAACAGACAAGTACGCACAGAAGATGGAAGTAATTTATATTTGTGAAATATGCTGGAGTATCAGCAAGGGAACAAAAGCATGAAAAAGATAAAAATGCATACCTCAATTGATGTTATTTCATTGAAGTTCTTAGTATTTGGTATACCAAGACATTGCATCCCATGTTTATGGCGCCATTCTTTAAAGTGTCGTTTAAAAGCCCAACGCCTACAGATTTATCTAATGTAACATGATATGGTTACTGCCAATAGGTATAGGCAGATGATAACAACAATTTCCTTTAAGAAGTTTTTCTCTTCTCTTGTGGAGGAGGAATTTTTATAGGCCTTAAACAGCTTATGACAACCCTCAAGACTTTAGATAATAACGACAACCACTGCTTGAGATAATGAGAAAATATGATTCCAGTTTACAAAATTTAATGGAAAATAAATAATACCTGACCCAGACCATTCACCCCATCGGCAATTTTAGGGGATTATATATCTGCTGCTCCTCATCTTCGTTTTCTGTGTCCTCTCGTGTCTCTTCCTGCAAAGAATCATATAATATAATCACCTATTAAATGAGTCCATATTTGGGAGCAAAGAAGGAATAGAAGTAAACAACCAAAATCAGAGAAAAGGTAATGTCAGTGGGGGATGTGTGATAGCCTGAAACATCTTTTACTCTGGTTAGTATGGACTACGGACCAAGAAACTTTGAAAATATAGAAAGTTCTAAGCTGTCTGAGAAGATTTTCAAAGACCAAAAAGGGACAAAAGACAATAACTCCTACGACTATTCACTAGGTACATTCAGTCAAGCCCGAGTTTTATGCATCTTAAAGTCAATTCAACAATTTTCTCCTCTCAAGCCCAAAATCCTGATCGGGGTGCCAGATCATTCTTTTTTTTCCCCTTCATCCCTCATTAAAGATCCCAGATGATGCAATCTATAACAGCATACTCCTTTCAGAATTCAGAAACAGGGAAGTTATACTCAAGCCAGTACTGGAGACTAGTTTACATAAAGCACGTAAGTTTCCCATTGGTGGGATAAAAATCAAATTACATTTCTTGATGAATAATTCAAAACATTTCATATGCTTAAATGTTAATTGCAAGCCACTCCTGCCATCCCTTATCTCTCAATAGATCAAGAAAACAGATGAACCTCATTTAAGCATCAGCTTAGTAATTCATTCATTTAGATTAGACTATTATGTTTCCAATAAAGATTCATCAACTTCAACATTGTTGGCCATACATACAAAACTAGATCAAGTCCACTAAAGAAGTTCAAAATAAACCACATGAAATCATGAAAAAAAAAAATAGTCTCTCAATATGTTTAAATAGCTTTTAGAAATATTATTGTTAATGACTATACATTTTCCAAGGATTCAAAATCTATGAGATAATGAATAAGCTGAATAAATTCTGAATTTCAACTACTTTAATAATAAATAGAATCTGGGAAGCATAAAATCATGCCATGAGCCAATTGTCTATACATTAGCTAGTTTTCCATAATTAATCTTTGTAACTTATATGAATATTGAAACTCAACATATTAAGTTTACAAAACAGTGATGGTGAATCCTTATACATCACCAGTTACATTGTTAATGGAAAATATGTGTAAGTGCATTTTCCATTAACCTACCTTTCAGGACCCACTTCCATCAGCTCTTCAAATGTATTATAATAATCCAGATCAATCATAGTGTGTTGAGCGGGACATGTCCATTCTCTCTCCCATGAAATTAGTTTTTTTTAACTAGAAAACAAAGAAGCTCTAAAGGTTGTTGGCACATTTCACATAACACCATTTGCCTCTCTTAGAAATATAACACACAACTTTTGGCATGGGATGTAACACCCACTGACCTTGATCTTGGGGAAGAGTGAGTCTTTAGTGTATATATATACATATTGTGAGTTATTGTGTTTTTGTGTATATATACCTTTTAGGCTGAAGTAGTTTATACTATTATCTACATACTTATCAGATGCCCAACTTAGGTTGTTCAAGATAAAACTCCGATTGAAGTTTGGAGTGGGCAAAAATCATCACCAAAACATCTAAGGGTTTTTGGATCGATTTGCTACATATACATTCCAGAAGAGAATAAGCACAAACTGGAGGATAAAACTATATGAGTTGTCTTCTTGGAGTATAGCACACAGTCAAAAGGATATTGAATCTACAACTTGCAAACCAAAAAGCTCACTAGTAGTCGAGATGTTGAAGTTGATGAAAATGCTGCTTGGAATTGAAAAGATGAAAAGGTTCAGAAAAATGGTTTTCGTACCAATACAACAACCTCACGAAATTGAAGAAGTCTCAAGTAAAAGATTTTCACCTCCATAACAACAATTTCTTCACCAGAATCTACTCTAAGACGAGTTAGATCTTTGGTGGATATATATGAGACCAGTAACTTGGACATAAATGAACCTGAGAACTTTGAAGCAGCATCAAAACAAGTAGTATGGGTCAAAACAATGGAAGAAGAGATAAAAATGATTGAGAAAAATAACACAAAGAGACTAGTAAATTGCCTCACAGATAAAAATATCATTGGGATAAAATGGGTCAAAAAAACCAAGCTTAATCCCGATGACACAATACAAAAGTATAAGGCAAGACTGATAGCTAAAGGATACTCACACCAATCTGGAATTGATTACAACGAGACACTTGCTCCAGTTGCTCGCCTAGATACTATAAGAACTCTAATTGCTCTTGCTGCACAAAAAGGATAGAACATTTACTAACTAGATGTAAAAGTTGCTTTTCTCAATGACATTCTTTATGAAGAGATTTATGTAGAGCAACTATAAGGTTTCGTTAGCAAAGGTGATGAAGCCAAAGTACTA